TTTTCCCATGCTTGTTGTTAATGCAGCAGTTGAGTTGTCTGATTCGGAGAGTTTAGCTCTTCTTGCTGATGCAGGAGGATGGTCTTCATGCATTTGCTTTAGGCAAGAGACAAAAGCTGTGATTGCAGCCAGGTGAACAAAGAATAAGTCAAGATGTTTTCAGCTTGGAGTGGACATTTACATATCATAGTGTGATCTGCTGAATTAATATGTTCAGAAAACTCACAGCTGCCACCATTCTTAGCCATTTCATTGTCTAATACAGCGAAAAAGCCCTAAAATACTTATTCATAACAGCTGCTCATAAAGAAATCAATCTTTATTAAGAAAGAAGTGATACACTCTCAAACTTCAGATCAAAAAGAAGCCCAAATCTCATATTCTACATAGAATCATAGAATCACAAGGTTGGAAAGGACCCACAACATCATCTAGTCCAACTGTCCTCCCATTACCACTGCTACCACAAGCTACTAAACCTTATCTTTTAAGCTCCTCATCCAGACACCTCATGAACACTGTCAGGGACGACTCCACCACCTCCCTGGCAGGCCATTCCAGTGTCTGACCACTCTCTGAAAGCAAAAGCTTTTCCTCATGTCTAATCTAAACCTCCCCTGGTGCAACTTGCGGCCATTTCCTCGGGTCCTGTTTGTTGCCTGGGAGAAGAAGCCAAACCCCTCCTCATTACAACTTCCTTTCAGGAAGTTGTAGAGTGCAATGCGGTCTCCTCTGAGCCTCCTCTTCTCCAGACTGAAAAATCCTAGCTCCCTCAGCCACTCCTCATAAGACTTCTGCTCCAGACCCCTCACCAATTTCACTGCCCTTCTCTGGACACGTTCCAGGGCCTCCATGTCTTTCTTGAAGCAAGGGGCACAAAACTGAATACTCAAGGTGCGGCCTCACCAGTGCTGAGTACAGGGGGATGATCACCTCCCAGCTCCTGCTGGCCACACTATTTCTAATGCAGGCCAGGATGCCGTTGGCCCTCTTGGCCACCTGGGCACACCGTCGGCTCATGTTCAGCAGAGCATCAACCAACACCCCCAGGTCCCTTTCCTCTTCACAGTCATCCAGCCACTCATCCCCAAGCCTGTAGCATTGCAGGGGTTATTGTGGCCAAAGTGCAGGACCCAGCACTTGGCCTTGTTGAACCTCATCCCATTCACCATAGCCCAGTGATCCAGCTTATTTAAGTCCCTCTGAAGGGCCTCCCTACCCTCAGGCAGATCAACACCACCTCCCATCTTGGTGTCATCTGCAAACTTAATGAGGGTTACTCACTCAATCCCCTCATCTGGGTCAGCAAAAAAGATATTAAACAAGATGGGCCCCAGTACTGACCCCTGGAGGACACCACTTGAAACAGGTCACCAGCGGTACTTAACTCCATTAACCAATACCCATTGGGCACAGCCCTTCTGCCAGTTCCTTACCCAAAGAATGTATCAAAGACTTCCAGTAAATCTCATGTTCAAGTTTCAGAGGGGTAAAAAGATAGAGGACTTCACATATCTGCTTTAAGCAGGAATTTTCTCATTCCAAATTTCACATGCATATGACTTTGAGTACAAAATAAAAATAAAAACAGTAACAGCCCAGTCAATGTGTATACATTGAATTTAACTAGGACCGTGGCATTGTGAATGGCATCATGAAGTGATCTGCATGAGGTTAGTACTAGACAGCGTCAAAATCCGAACACTTATATTGTAGATTATAACATGGAATCCTGCAAAATATTCAACTGCAAGAGAAGCCTAATCTGAAGCAGTAAACTTTACATAAAGTGTTAAACACTGCTTAAGTCCCCAGGATAGGTTACAATCAGAAGCTAAAAGGATCCCATTTGGTGTATAACAAAAGTTAGACGCAGAATGTGTAGAAGCAACCTAAAGTGACTGACAGGCTACTCTTTCTAGGGGAAGAATCTACTTGACAGGTGAAGTAAAAGGAGGAAAAGTTGTTTTTGTTTTTTTGTTTTGTTTTGTTTTTGTTTTTTTTTTAAGCTGTTTCCTATATACTCAAAAAAGGACTGCATGTAACACTTCCCCAAAAAGCAGGACTGCAACCACAGGAGTAGCTGACACATCAGTTTTCATATTAATGGCTACAACCAGTCATGGGGTCCCTGAATTCTCCTTTATCTTCCTGGGGCAGAAAGACTTAAACAGTGAAAACATCTAAAGAATTAAACAAGCTTATTTAAACAGAATCATAGAATCACAGAATCATAGAATCACTCAGGTTGGAAAAGACCTCAAAGATCATTGAGTCCAACCACAACCTAAGCACACTACCTTAACAGCCCTCCTCTAAATCATGTCCCTGAGCACCACATCCAAATGGTTTTTAAACACATCCTAGAATGGTGACTCAACCACCTCCCTGGAAAGCCTATTCCAGTGCTTAACAACACTTTCTGTAAAGAAGTTTTACCTGATATCCAATCTAAATTTACCCTGATGCAACTTAAAACCATTTCCCCTTGTCCTGTCACCTGTCACCAATGAGAAAAGACCAAGCCCGCTCTCACTGTAAGCACCTTTCAGATATTGGAAGAGAGCAATAAGGTCTCCCTCAGCCTCTTTCTCCCCAGACTGAACATCCCCAGATCCTTTAGTTTCTTTTCATAGGACATATTCTCCAAGCCCTTCACAAGTGTTGTTGCCCTTTTTTGGACCTGTCCAGTGTCCAGCACCTCAATGTCCCTCCTGTACTTAGGCACCCAAAACTGAATATTTTTATATTTATGTTTGAAAAATACAAACAATGAGACAAAATACACACATTCAAAGAGGATCATAAAAATAGCAGAAAAATATGATCAAAATAATTCCACTAGACTATAATTTATTCTATTAATTTTACAAATTCTGTGGAATACAAGCATCTGATTTGTTGAAGGCATTTCGTATCTTCAGACTATTTTCTAAATAGACTTACTTTACTTATTATGAAGTAAATTACTACTACAAAGTTGTATGATCTTCATATCTTCACATCTGGAAAAACAAAGTACCTTCTTGAAGCAGATAAAACAACATTATGAAAATGCATAGCTCTTTTTGAATAGAATATTCTATTTTCTTGGTTAAGAAAAATAAAAAAACGTACCTTTTGTTCATTCAGCAGGTCAGTAATAGTTTGTGACATTTCATCCAAACTCTGTGCTGCTTTTACCAGGTTATGTAAAGCACGTACATGCTGGTGAAGAGGTTCAAAGTCACAAAGTATTGGAACCCTTAAAAACAATACAGGATTATATCTTTTTGGCACATTGTTACATCTAATATTCAAATGATTAAATTTTTATGTAGACATTCCAGTGAGATAAAGCTTCCCTCTGTATAAAGTTTTTATTTTTTTCATTTCAAATATTTAGCATGGAAAATCCACAAAAGTACCTTTTATTTGTGCTTTAAATTAAGAACCTCAGAGCTCTTAAGGACCACAATGATAAAAATAATGGGGAAGTACTGCATCGAGGTCTTTTCTTTCAAGACATAACAGAAGAGAACTGATGGTGATCAAAATCTGTAACTGAAGCACTTATTATTGCAAATGGCTCAATTATTTTCTTCAGTTGGATCCTCTCCAATCCAGCTCCTATTTTGAAGCAGCAATTAATTCTATATTATTCTACTTATTTTAGGTCACCTATCACTGAAAAGAGTGAACAACACATTGTGATCACATTGCCTGTGTTGAAAAGTTACAGGTTTCCTAAACCTTTGAAAAAGTAACATTTCATTTTTCTTGAGAGCTTGTACTTCTAGAATATTTAATTTGTCTGGAATTGCTCCACTGAATTAATGAAACAGCAGTTCATTTAGACTAACAATACAATAAAAGCAGATAATGTTTCAATGTACTTTGCATTCTCTAGTCAAAATATATGGATGTGCTATGGAGTATTATTTTTTAAGGAATTAAGATTTCAGTAACTACTTAAACTTTGAAGCCCAGAAGACTGAAACAATGTATGAAAATGGAGGCATAATTTTAATCTTGAAGCTCCGGGGATCAGCAGTTACAGAGAAGAATCCCACTGCTCACCCTCAGCTGGCTAGCTTGCTAGCTTGCCAATTGTTTTCTTTGGGATGTTCAATTAAAGCACTGAAGAGATCACTGCTCTAAAGTTCGTTCTGAAACTCAGTGTCTATAAACGTGTGTGAAAGCTAGGCTCAAGTTATAAGTCCGCCACCTTCATCAACACTGCCATCAAATGCAAGTCTGAACCCAGAAGCCAAGGTGAACACAACATAATCCCACCTCTATTGCCATCAAGTGGAAAGCTGTGTCACTACATCAGCCATGAATAGCTTTACTGAATATTTTCTAATAGCAAGACAAAATTCTTACTGGACTCAGTCAGAGAGCTTCCTAGGATGGTCATAAAGTTCTCACAAACCCCAAAATCATGACACTAATATCAGCAATACATAAAATTATAGTTTACATTTTATCTTTAGGATCCCTGAGAAGCAAGTCTAACGAGAGAAATTAAAAGGGTTTATCAGCAGAATCATGATTGATAGCAAATTCACTGTCAAGTAGTCTAAGCTCACTACCCTTATTGTTAACACCAGCAGACATAGCACCAGGAAGATCAGCAGGACTTCAGAATCAAAAATAATACCAATACAACATAAAGATGAAAAATGCAGTGAATTTCAACGCTGCATGCCAGTAACAGGTTTCAGGCTGATGGTGAACCTAACAAATGACAACAGAGCATCTCCATTGGGAAATGGAACTACAGCTCTGTTCTAACAAAAGGATAACCCATACATACAGCATCTCATTGTGGTGATACAGAGAAAGATCTCTTCTGACACAGGACCTTACAAACCAGACTTTTTCTTGCCTATTTCTTGCTCACAAACTTGCTTAACATTACTCTTATTTCCACGGGTTTAAAATGCATGCATTTGAAAGCTTATTAACCATCATAGCAATGCCCAACATTCATTACACCTCAATATATAATACATAGGACACAGGTGTTCAGGTCATTTGAACTTGAGTACATGAAGCATAAAAGGAACATATCTGTAGTATGTCAGCTAAAAGCATCGCTTAAGAATGACACCAGTTTAAAAAATATCTGTCTGTCCCTTACATTAAAGATATTAGGAGGGGAAAGAGGGTGTGAATGAGGAGTGAGCAGGACAGAAAGGGAAGCCAATTCGATTATTACAGAGAGGTTAAAAAGGTGATTTACCTGAGTAATGGCTGAACTTCTGAAGGACAAAAAGACTGCAAAAATTGCAAGTCACTTAATGAGATATCTGGAAGCTCACTGTCAAATCTGCGAGGTTTTCTTGTCTGTATCAAGAAGAAATTAATTTATACATTGTTGATGATGATAATAAGATAACTAAAAGATTCAAAAGGAATCTAATTCATAAGTGATAAGTTAAACTATGATTTCTCTTATCAAAGATTTAATTCCCCTTTTAAACAAGCACATCTGGCCATATTCTCAAAACCCTAAAGATTAAATACATAAATTCAAATTTATAGTTATTATCCATAGCACCTCTTCCTCCCTATCACCAAGGTTACTAAAGTTATTAAATCACTAATGTTAAGGGATAAGAGATGACTCCAAAACTTAAGACTAACTTAATACACAAATAAATCCACTATTTAAAATACTAAAAAAAAAAAAGCCAGTAATATTAGTTAATTAAAGTAAAACATTCTGATTCTAATCTGTGAGAAATTAAATAGGCAATGCTCGATTACAGACAAAAATTCTGTTCTACTCATCAAGTAATCACAGGAAAAAAGGAAAACGCTTGATTTAACCACGATTAATTTTATGTTTATATTATTCAGAATATTGGATTAAATAAACAATTATTTCTCCTGGCCTTTGTTTTCTGAGCATTAATAAACAATTTTTTAAATCAATTCTACAGACAACTTCTTAAAAAGGAATAACAAGCTGATACATACTTTCCCACCACAATACAAGTTGGTTAACAGTGTTAATATAGGTCCCTTTAAATAGCAAGAAGTACATTGTCTAGCTATCTCATCTGTCAGGGCAATGTGACAGGTACACAACATGAATTACGCCTCATTTAAATTACTAACTGCTGTTCACAAAAATGAAAGAAACAACAAAAAGATACTAAGTACATACACAAAAGGATGGAGGCCAGGAATCAAGTCCTCTGAACAAGCGATTCCTAAGAAAAGACTTCCCTGGACAAAGAAAAAAATGGTTATTTAAAAGGAATAAATGCAACATACAAACAATGCCTCAACAAAAAACAATTGAGCTATTGTAGTTCAACAGCTGAACTAAATTTGAAGTTATTCCAAACATACCTTTTCTTAACAAAAAGTGGTGACAGAACCTCACGTAAAATCCACCATAAAAGCAGAGGCCTGAATGGCGTGATGAATTCTATTTGCTTACTGTTCACCTTTTCAAAAGCCTCAGCTAATTGTTCAAAGTTTCTTCTTTGTAATCTTGCTAACTTCCTTTCCAAACATTTGATAACCTTTTACTCAATTTTCTTATTTAAAGAAAAAAAACCTCTGGTCAACTGTTCTGAGTGGGCAATTTCAGCTTTTTATTTATTTTTTTAATGAATTACAGACAATGCAGTACTAATGCTCAAATACTCAATAAGGATTTCAAAAGGATTCCTTTAAAGGAATCATAAAGCTTGCAGAACACGTTCAAGCAGAAACTGCATTCAAGCGTAATAACAATTTTTCTTTCAGAAGCATTAAACTAATGAGAACATTCATAGTATTTTTGATAGAACTACATAGAAAAACATAATCATACACATATTTAAACTAAAATATACTGGAAGTATTTTATCTACTTCTGAAGAGAAATGTCATACTAAGCCACATATCACAGAACAGGAAGTACTTACTGAACAGTTTACCAAAAGATTCTCTTTTTGCCCTTTCAGCTTCATATAGGTGTTTCCCATCATTTATTAAAGCACCTGCCCACTGTGAAAAGAGAAATACATAGTTAATTGTTAATTTATGCACTGACACAAAGGGTTGAACCTGACCTCTTGTTAACTTACCTCCCTGTAGTGTTTTATGAACATTTTTCTCCTCACAACCTCAACGACAGCTAGACAGTACATCTGAGGAACAGTACTGAGAGCCTCTACAACCTTGACCCTCTCTAGGAGTTCTGTCACAAGACGAAGCAATGCTTGCAGTTTCTCTCCATCTTGGTCAGCATGAAGCATTACAAAACAACACCACCTACAAAAGTAGGTTATACGTTAGAAGATAACAACTTAGTCATCTCTTATGCATTTTAATTTCACTGAAATTAGCAGCATCTTTAAATCAAGTGAACAACTACATCATCTTACATGGGACAACAACAGTCTATCTGGAAGTACCAAATAATTTAGAATTCACTAATTGTCTTCTCCATTAATTTCTCAAATAAGAAAGCCTCAAATGTGCTCCATAATTAATGCTCAGTAGCATCTGAGTTAAGGTACTGCTTTGGTAAGTAAGTCTGAGCATATGTAACTTTATAATAAATGATAATGAAGTTTTATCCAGATGAACTTAAAAAGAACCTGCTATGCCCAGAAGAGACTAGTCTAACTCTTAAAAATATTTTCAGAAAAGCATTAGTAAGAAATATTAATGTGTGATACTGTCTAATAGATCAGATAGAAAGGCTGCCACCTACTCACTCATTACAAATAACAGCAACTCTAAGATGCAAATTCCTATATTGAAAATATGAACATTTATTCCTCGGTCAACACACAATTTTCAATCAGTCAGCAAAATAATTAAATCACAGTTTAACTACTGAAACAGTGATAAAATGGAGAGACTGAAGGGAAACATTACAGTAATTTTTTTTCCACCAAAGAAGTCACTTTTAACTGTTAATTTTCTCACAGCAATGAGTAGCAAGAAAGAAAGAGAAGGCATTATATGAATCCAACAAGCATCCAGTTCAAGCACAAAAATGAAGTATTTTCTCCATACAACTGTTACAGTGCTCCTTGCAAAAGCCAGGAGCTTGTGAATTCAAAGAAGAATTAATGGAAGCAATCTCCACCAGCAATTAAATACAAATGAACTATTTCTGTAAGTAAATACTCTTAGACAAAAAGATTCCTTCTCACTAGATTCCCTCATCTGCTATATACTGCTACTGAAGACAGACGAGCTAGAAGAATATTTGGCTTGACCCAGAATACAATATTTTGCTTTTCTTTTTGAAAATCTTTGCTACTCTCTTCAAATCTATTTTTCTTGCATTCACCCTCCTTGCCTCATTAGCTTTTTCCTCCCTAGGGGATGCCAGCCTTTTCCTCTAATAACTCACTAGTTCGGTGCATAACTACATAAATACTTTAACATACAGGAAATTAAAATGATATTTATGGCAAGCTAGCTTCTAGGTACTAACTCTCATTACTTGTGAAAAATGGTGCCAAAAGAAGAAAAGTAATCTTTTCAGTAAGTTAAAGGCTGTTGTATAGACAAACTCCTATTCTGATCTACCAATAAGTAATTCTTAGTAATACAGACATAACAGGATCTTTGTCAATAATGCATTGCTAATTTACTTTACTTTTTCCTGTACCTTGAAACTGCCTCTTCTATACAAACTGTAATCTTGCCATAAAGAAAAAAATCTCCTTGATAGATATCTAATCCAGTGTGCAAGTCTATGGTTCTGTGAATACTGCTACAGAGTCCAAATCCTCCACACAGGACCACCCAGAAACCAAACCCAACATGTGAGAGCACTGTCCAAACACTCCTTGAATTATGGTAGCTTGGGGCTGTGATCAACATCCCTGTGAGGAGCTGCAGCCGCCATGAGGGCTCCCCCTCATCTCCTCTGCTCTGAACAAGGGATCTCACCCTCTTCTCATGCACTTTGCCCTCCAGACCTTTCACTAATATTGCTTAATTATTAATTGCTAACACAAATAAAACTATTTAAACAAAATTATTAAACTGTGTATGTTCCCTATACATCTGACATAACATTAAAATTTGAGTTACATAGCTTGAAACACTTTAGCAGCGTGAAAAACTTTATCACTGAGCAATATATAATACTTACCGCCTGTGTCACACAGCAATGATGCTCACATGAAAAATACTACTTTTTTTTAATTAATATAATTATTTTTCATCAACTGCTAGTAAATCACAAACTAACAGCATGCCTTTTTTGCTTTGATACGATCACAAGCTACTGACAAGTGTTTTTTGTATACTTGCTACTGCCCTATGAAAACATCAATAGAATTATCAGTTAAATTTTAAATAAGACATTGATGGCTTCTGAGGTTGATGGTAGGAAACAGGTTTGAGGATACTGTTTTACTGATATGAAGGTCATATAAACGCCTAAGAAAATTTTCTCTTAATATTTTATTTCATACTTAGAAATGATTTGATAAGCAAATGCAAGTTTCAAAGTTTAGACTAACAAAGTTAGAAGTTTATCCAACTTTTATTTTCTCTTTCATTTAGAAAAAGTTCTATGCATTACCGAAAATCTCCTTACAAAATACTTTTAAAATCCTCAATATAAATAGAATTCACAATATCAGGTTGAAAAGTTGTAACTTACTTTAGTCTGACTTGTAGGTTATTTGCAAGCTCCTGTTTGGCAGTGGTACATTTCTGTTTAATATCTAACAGCTTTCTGTGATTAGTTAACATAATCATCAACTGATTTGCATGACTCAAACACAAATCAGGCAGCACAGAAGGATCTTTCAAGTTCTCAGCTCTCTTCTGATTAGCCAAAAATCCCTGGAGAAGAAAAGACATAATGTTAAAAAAGTTTTGTGACAATAAAAAGTCACTGAAGCGATCATTTTCTCTGTAAGAATGCAAGAGTTTATTAGAACTTCCTGAAAATATTTGGTAGCTAACAGAATCATACATTGTGAAGTCACTGTCCAACATGCATTCCTTTCATTCTATAATCCAATTCAAATACATATGATCTGAGATTTTCTTCTCCTAACATTACCATCACAACCTTGTGAGACCTTAATACAACAAACTGACATCAGTGAAAGATTATAAACTTAATGCAGCAGAAAGAAATAGATACCAATACTGAGGCAATGAACCATCAGTCTGATTTCAATAGCCAGCTTGGTAAATTCAAGCATACTGAAGACTTAGCATTATAACACGTTCAGTATTACTGCGGGCTAAATTATCTACCTTCTGAATATCAAAATTCTTCTATGAAACCTGTTTTCCTCTCTCCTCCCTATGAACACACATACAAACTCAGACATTAACTTCAATTATTACCTCCTGGATTGATTAGCAGTGCATCATAATTGTTACTACATTTTCAGCCAGGTAAATCCCACTTAAGACAAATTACTGAATTTCTTTATGCATCATCGAATGTACAACCATAAGAACAGAGAAACAAATACACACAGTGACAATTAAGGATGCCCAATATTGAAACATCAGAAGAACCGACTTAAAACTTGTCCTTAATCTCTTCAAAAAGTAATTATCTGGCATTAGCTCCCCCATATTCTATCGGATATACGTTTCAGAAAAAGTCTGAGTGTAATAATTACTGAAACATTAAAAAAATATATATATATCAGCCTCAGAAACATTAAGTGCTTTTTCTAGATGTCTTTTTTTTTTTTTTTTTTTTTTTTTACTCAGAAGTACTCATGTTATGTGAATGAGAAATTCACCTTGGGTACCTATGATGTAAGAAAAGACAAAAGACCATTACAACCATTATTTTCTTTGGAACCCAGACAGCAATACAGATTCTCTGAAACCACTGTCTAGCTCCAGTTGTCCAGCTGAGTACAAAGAATTACAATGGTGTAAACTGTATTGGTAATATGAAGACTGTTCCAAAAGTAATGCCTCCTATTATGTTGGCCTACTGTATCAGAGGCAAATGTTGCTAGTATAGCAGTAGCGGTTGAACCATGCAATTAATATCTCATTACACTTTGTTGCTGTGCAACAGATGGCAGTAGAGGGGCAGTCTGACAGAATAGCATCTGACACAGAAGTGCATATGAAGCAAAGGTGCAGAATTCAATTCCTCCATGCAGAAAAAAAAATGTTACCCATTTACCTTCATTGACATTTGCTGAACATTTATGGAGAACAAGCAGAGGATGTGAGCTAAAAAGCTGAAGGAGAAAGGTCAGACAGCTAAGGCTGGGAAAAACCTGTAATAAGGCAAAATGATCTCCTAGGAAGTCCTATTCGTAGTGACAAAGGCTAATAAGACTCTCAAATCTTCAACATTTGCTCTGAATGTTCCTTGTTTTTGGTGAACCAGCAGAAAACATGAAAATGTAGGAGGGTGAAGAATAAACTTTACAGTAGACAACAAGTACAGCCAGATGTTTTTTGTAACTTTGTGCTGAGCAGGGTAAGGAATTACCTGTTGTTCGTTCTATATATATATTGTACAGACAATCCAAAAAAGGGGAAAGAGGGGCAGAATAGGGAAGATGCACCACCTAACACGTATCTAAATATGTTTTAGAATGCTGATTACACAACATATATAGATAGATATGCATAGAAGAGGCAGTAAAGTCAGGTACAGCTTTACTCTTAGTGCCAAAAGACTATTTGTAAATTTGAAACTGCAGAAGATATTCTGTCCCTATGGATCCATGCTTGAAGTATGTTTTAAATTCAAATTCCTATTACATGCTAGTAGCCAAAAATGTAAAATGACAAAAAAAAATAGGGAAAATAAATGTGGGAGAAAACTAAGATGCAAGTAATCAATTGTTCTCACAAGTTCTTGCCTTTCTGGCCCTGAGAAGATGAAAGGGTTCATGACGTGACTGTCACAAGTAAACTAAGAAAGGTGCTGAAAAACAGATATGATAATGCTTTTCTTGATTTACTCAGTTACTACTTCAAAATCAAAGAAGAAACAAGAATACTTAACATTTTCGACTGACTTGAATTGCAATAGAACTATCCCAGAATCAAGAAAGTCATATGCAAATCAGTGTGTTGACTATGGCTAACAGTTCTAATAGGATAGAACTTCTATGAACCTAGTTCATGGAAGTAAATTTTGATGTAATAATGTTTTTAAAAGCTGCACTATCAGTAGGGAAAATTTGAAAAAAAATACAACACAAAAGTACATGCAAGAAAATGTAAAGGTCAAGCTACTGAGTCAAATCAGACTGAAAGATTGAAGGAACTCCAAATTTTCTAGAAAAGTACTTTTGTAAGTAATGCCCCCTAATGATCATAATTAAATATGATAACGACAGAAATTCCAGATTTCGTAAAAAATATGTTTTGAATTGAACAAAATAGACTTCTCCAGTAAACGTTAGGGGGCCTCTAACATTTAATCACCAAGTAATTTTTCATATGAAAGTTGTTTAATTGTCAGTTCATTGAAAATCAGATGAAAAAAAGAAAAAAAGAAAAAACAATCCTTAAGGCATGTCCAGGGATGAGCAAATTATCTAAGCAGTGAAGCCTTCTAGCAGCGCATGGGCTGTTCTGTGTTCTAAATTTGTTTTGAATTTCAGTAATAAACTTGAAGTTGGAGTAAAAAGTCAACTCAAACTCGGAAAAACAAGCCTGCAGCTTCCAATACACACACTGCCACTAGGATTACCATTTAGATGTTTCTTATCCTTGTTCCATCAAGTATATCTACTTGCTGTTCCTTTATGAACAGAAATGGTTCACTGTTTAAAGGTATGATGCAAAGGAAATTTTTTTTTCCAGTACCACTAATATTAACAGCTACTATAAAAACTGTTAACGTTACTTTAAAGAACACTCACATTTTCACGTATATTTTTGAAGAAAAGTAAACCACTGCACTTAGCCACTTTTTTTAGATTTCTATGCCAACTATTACTTTCATGATTAACATGATACTAGCCCTGGTATCTTAAATGTGCCTAAGTTTGTTTCAAACAGTATCTAAACAACTGCAATACGTAGAAGTATTTATAAATCTTTTCAACCAATTTTTAGGCATCTCACTCAAGACAAATTGGTAAACTTAAGACAGACTTCTCATTCAAGTGACAACTGAAATCCAGCTAAGACCACAATCAATAACACTGGACAACCAAGTAGAAAGATGGAATACTATCTTTTCCATTATGTGAAATCTCCTTTATATTTAGAAGCTGGCTACAACATAAGCACTTACGCAAGGCTGAAATTTAACACTAACATACTCCTAGATTCCAGTCATTGAAATTACAAGAAAACAGGCTCCACTGTTAAACAGTGCAGTGTTTCATTCAGAAGGGGAAGGGAATCTATCCATCTCTCAAGTTCTGATTTTCTAGTTGTTTTTTCTAGTTCTAAGCCACAAGGATAACAATGAATCCCTCCACAAATGACAACTGAAGGTTACCACTCCTTCTCTAACTACTAGTGTATAACAGTGGTTCTCAACTGTTCAGAAAAAAAAAAAACGAACAGAACAATACTTTGAAGTATTTAAAAGAATATGAGAATCATACAGAAAATATCAGATTAAAAATTACCAATATCTAAACTGCTAATTATTATGAATAATGAAAGTCATCCTGCACAACAATATGTGCTTGTTTCATTATAATTTTTATCAGCATGCATATATCAAAAGTTAACATCTTCCAGTGTCTCATACGCACATATGTATACATTACCTGAGCAAGTTCTTTTTGTTCATTTACCAGTCTGCTGCAACTTGCTATCATCTGGTCCAATGCATAGAGCCTATCCTCAAGGCCTTTAATAGCCTTCATGTTCTGATTATCTAGTTTGGCAATAGTTTGTCGACATTCTGCCAAAAAGGGCTGGATGATCCTTGGATCAAGCTGGGGAAAATAAATAAATAAATAAGTGCACTTGTTGTACTGAAAGATAATACTAAATAACTACATTAATTTTTATACCTTTATTGTTTTTACCTTCACTATTATTAGTTATCAATACTATTTTAACCAGGATTTTTGTTTGAATCAAACATGTGCCTACATCTTTCATTTGTTTCAGAAGCAGTAAGTCTGAGTGGTATCATAGAATATCCCAAGTCACATCAATTTATTTGAAGTATTCCAACTAGACTTAGGATACAAATAACATACAAACATAGACTAGCATAGAAATCCAGTTCTGGCAAGGAGAAGGGACGAGGAGTGGATGGGGCGATTAAAACCACTGAACAGTTTACAGTGGAAAAGAATCCATACAGCCACAGTTAAAAAGAAAGATAAACATGACTCAGTGGGAAGTCTAATAGGAAGGGCAGAACAAAAGAATTGCAAGACCCACTGCTATTTCCTTACTGAACAAATATTTTTGACAGCTTCATAGGTAAGAGACCAGTACTAGTAGCTGGAACACAAACTACAGAAAAAGCACATTTGTAATATTTTTACTGATATTTTTGTTAATAAAAACACATTTTGGAAAATTATTTCATCATATTCCTTCGTGATCCATTATCCATGGAAAAAAAACTGGCATAAGAAGCTACACAGACAGTAGGAGTAATTCTTCATCTTTCACTACAAAAGTAGTGAAATAAAGACCTTATTACATGAGAATCTAATGGAAAGGATACAATATTCTGAGGTCATCCATACAGTCTTAACACTAGCTTTTTGCATCAGCATGAAGTTTTTATGTCAACCCACACCACGAGAGCCCAGTAACTCTTAGAAAAGAGGTCACTTACATGGTATCAATATTAACATGACTACATTAAAATACTACTAGAGAAAATACTAAAGCCTGGTAATTCCAGAGTTTTTCATAAGAAATAATTTTAATTTACAAAATCCCCGATTTTTTCTCAAAACTTCTGAAGTTTCTTTCCATCATATTATGAATTTTGGTTTTTCCCAAGTATGAACTACAGCTACCTGAACAGTTTCTTAGTCAAGAAAAAAAATACTGAAGACCATGTTGTTTTTCGTTTTTCTTTCCCTTTAAATCACCATAAAAGCATGGTTTATCCAATTTATTTCCTTCACAAAGAAAATCTGTTCCTTTTATTCCACCCTATAATTTATTTCTCCCATCCATTTTTTTTTCCACCTTTAACCTAATTGCATATGTAGCATTCTGCTCTACTTTCACTACTAAAAAGATAATATTGTTCTCCTCATCTTTAAGTCTTCTCTCTTTCTACTTAAATAGTTATGACAGCACTTAACAGAAACATCTGGTTAGCTCCTACTTACCCTCTGCTTTTATTGCAGCCTCTGTTTCTGCAATCAGAAGCATCACTGTTAAAATGCCTAGAGGCTAGAAGAATCACATACCTAACAGTGTTCTGCATCCAACTCTATCAAGACTGCTACTGTCAAAGATATAAGCTTCACACTCTGATGCCTTTCACTTTAATAAAAATATTATTTGAAACTGAGTTCAGGTCATCAATTGTAATCATATGCCATTAGTACAGTTCATTTTTCAAAGAAGGGCAGGTAGAGAACAAGAAAAAGAACAGAATTACTGGCTGTATAGTCTCATTTCCTACTTCAAAGAGTCATTTAAAGTAAATGCTAAGAGAACAACTGTATTTCAGATATTTATTTTGTAATTTTTTCTTTTCCTTTTCAGCTAAATAGCCCAATTCTGTTTTTTAACTAATTCCAAATCAATGGCAGATAAAGACTGAATCCTTTGTGCTACCATCAAAAAACGATATTAATGCTTTCCTAAGGAACACTAGCAACTGTCACATGTCTTTGAAGCTTTTGGATTCTTGTGAACCAAAACAGTTCAAGACTGATCAATCACCATTATTTGTGATTTGTGATTATTGTGATCATAGTCCGAACACTCTGAATATCATTTCTGCCTTCCAATTTTAATTATGACAAGAAAACAAAGGAGGAGGAACAATCCCCTTCCTGCCCCCTCCCCTCCAAAAATAGCAGCTTATAGAACAATTGTAATAATTGAAACAAAGGGTTTCTACCTAGTCCTGGATAAGAAAATCAAGGACAGGAAAGCACACAGTTGGCAAGATAATCTCTTCTTTAGGTGGCACATGACAGATGAGACTAGAAGCTGATCCAAATAACGTACAATGATTATTTTTGCTGTTATCTTTGTTATTTCAGTATCACTAATATAATTTATTCTGAAGGACTGTTTAATGCCTCTCTCAAAACACTGATTTTTAAGAGATAGATCATGACTTTTAAAGTAGAACTCATCAAAATCAATGTGTAAAACCAATTACATGATAATGTTCATTATAACAGATGGGGCTTAGACATAACTGAGACAGTCTTCCAGACTTACCTTAAAAAACAAAGTGTCCAAGACAATAAAATTTATTTTTTTTATAGCTATACTGAGTTGCAATAATATTATACATATGCAAACAAAGTTAAACTATTTAAGACATATAAGCCATAATGAAAGGAACAAGCATGAGAGGGAATTTCAAAGTAAAAGGTTACATGATTAAAAGACACTTGGAAAGAATATGAATAATTTTTTTGTCTTTTATCCACAGAAATACAACATAACAGACTATGCTTTTGTGAGCACATCTGTATTGACTGATGAATAATACATATGCATATACACACACACACACACATATATATACTACTCAAACAAAATCACAATTAAGCACATGAATTTGACTATATTTTAATCAATACTTCAGTATTTATTAGAATAATATTGAGTTTGGTCCATAAATACTTCACTGAAAGCATAAGAACACAATCAGCTAAGATCTGAAGATGCTTTGTTTCAAAGCTCCAAGAAGCCACTGGCTTATCCTTTTGGCCAAAAGCAAACAAAAAGCATACTAAGATAATAAGAATTCACTGCAAAATTACAAATTTTTTTAAAGGTCAAATTCCTAAAATTTAAGAACTCATTCAAAGTACTTCCCCCACTCTCACTCTTTTTTGGTCTCCATCAGAAAGTTATTTGAGAAACAATAAGGTACAGACAGCTGAATCACTTCAAAAGAACTGGCATGTGAAAAATAAACAAAAAAATTCACAGCAAATTCCCAATATAAGTTGAGTGTAAACAAAATTATTAACTTACCCTGCTCATAGAATCAAAACATTTTCTGACCAGTGATTCAACATCATTAGGTCTGTCTTGAACATTTATCCAGTCTAATAAAGACACATTGAAGGAAGGCTGATCATCATCTTTCAGTTCTACTGATGTTTCATTGTCCTGGACAGTAGTATTTTGACCAGACTCCTTATCGTCTTTTACATTTTCAGGATTTGTGTCTTCTAAAGCTGCATGTTCAACTGACTTGCAAAACGATGCTAACATTGATTTATTGTTCACTTTAGATACATCAGAATAAAGCACCAGTTCAGAAGATTTCCCATTCTCAGTTTCTTCACTTTCCACCACTCCATGCTCTGCTGATGAATCCAGTCTTCCTAAGCACTCCCTGTAACTATGTCGTGTTAGGCACTCCAGCAGTGGTATCTTGGCCATGACAGAGACAGCAGAACCCAAGCTTTTTTAAAAAGGGTGAAAACAAAAAGCTGTCAGTATCCAATTACAAAAACTGACACAAGCCGCTTATAATTATAAGTGTTATTTATATTCAATATGAATATGCTGACTATCCTTTCAAAGTACCACGTTTAATATCAACTTCATAAGAAGTTGCAATTTCTGCTCTCTTCCACTGCAGAATATAAACTTCAGAGTACAATGCAATGACAAAAACAAGAAAAAAACCACAACATTTGATAAAGAGATGCGTGCTCACATTTTAAACATGCACCTGGGACTCGTGTTTGCATTCTGCATGGGTACATACTAATGCTTACCAGCAAAGACAAGTGCCCTCTGGCTGAATACATCTGCAGAGTTTGAATAGTTTCTATGTATTTGTTAAAAGCTACAGAGTTCATCTTTTTTTTCCCCCCCCCTTAAAAAAGTAAACTGGATTTATGTTTTATTTCTTTAAGTACCTGGCATTCTATTAGGTACTTCACTCAGAGAAATACCATAATACTATAATGTCAAGAAAGATCTCAAATATTTTCGTTCAAGTAACATCTAGAATTTGCAGAATATACGTATATACACATACATTCAAAGCGTATATAACAAAATTTTGCATTAAAAATAGCTTCAAATTTGCAACATAAGCATACATTAAGAATGATGATTTAAGTGCATTCAGAATTAATTCAGAAGTACAACTACGTAGTCAAAATACTGTTTAATGTCTAAATTATCTAGACATTTCTAGTGTACATTTGGAAGGACTCCAGCTCTTAAACAGCTGTTCATTAATGAACATCATTTTTCCAATAACTCAGTAGTGGTTTCTGATTATTGATGAAAGCAACAAAAAAAGGCCATTAACAATGACTAGTATACAACAGAAAGAATATTTTCAGAAACATAATCAAACACGCGCCTGATTAACTGGAACCAGCAAGAGATATACAACACACACAAAAAAGTAGCTTTGGAGACAGACTGAAGTTTAACAGCAAACCTACTGTGTAAGTTTCAACTTAATATCTTCTATGGACTGCAAATAGCTTGAATATACATTTTCAAACTTGAAAAGCAGCTTTTGATAAGAGTATGTACAGTCTTCCAAGTTGGCCATTATGGCAGCCCAGCCTTGATGTTGAAGATGTTCATCGTGTACAAGACCTTCACAAAATGAGCAAAGCTTCTTGGCAACTTCGTACATTTCCTGCCAAAAAAAAAATTCAACAAAAAAAAAAAAAAGCAAGTCACTCTAGATTGATTTGTGATGTTTTATATTGCTATCATTGAAAAGTAAGAGGCCAAGAAAATATTAAGATAAAAAGTGATAAAACGTGACCTGTAAGTTTCAACCAAGAACAACAAAACTTTCCTTACTCTTTAAGAAAAAAAAGATAAAAAAAATCAGAAGATAATTATTGATCATTTACTGAGATTTTTCTTATGAACAAGCAGATTAAAGCTGCAGTTGCAAAAAAAAAAAACAACACCACCATGACATCAAACTTCATGAAATTAATTAAATGCTGCCAATATAAGTTACTCAGTGCACACAATTCATAATTACATTTGTAGTAATCCAACAGTCAGTAAACAAGGTCGATTAAGGAGAAAACAACTAATGAGCCAAACAGAAACTCAGAACAAGACAAAGAATTGCAGCATCAGCCAGCAGAAGCAGTGCATCAGATGCAGAGAGAGATGCTGATAAGTTAGGTAGTAATTCAACACAGTCCTAGATATGGCATGTATTAAATCCTCTTGAAAGTGTAGTAATAGCAATGCTTTATTGTGTTCAACTCCAGATTTCAAACTATTAGTAGAAAATCTATTTAAAGTTTACTAAGAAAACAGACGGCCACTCTCATCTGTTAGTGCTACTTCCCAAACACCAAATGAGAAAACAAAACAGATATCACAATAAATCCTTCAGCTCAACACTTTATCAACAACATATTTGGAAATATTCTTCTCATCCTACCTTCTAAGAAAGGAAATGCTACAATTTTTTGCAGCTTGTTCATGTTGCTGGACTAAACTGAATGCGTATCTTTCCTTTGTTATAGTACACGTGAGAAACTATGCATGGAGAAACAAGTTATTTAAGTACAGTAAAAAAGCAGTACGAAAACCAAACCTATGACTCTATTACAGAATATGTTTGCTTATGAACACATGGTTAATAGCACATATGCATAACATACAGTAATTTCAAATCCAACAATAACACTTGTCTTCCCAAAACAAATCTCAAGACAGCAAAAGTTCTTTATCTGAATATTTCAGAATATGAACAATACCTAAGTTATGAAGCCTCTAAAAACAAATTTGAAAATCCAAGCCTTTTCTCCAGTGGCATCACAAGATTCCATTGTTCTTAAATTACTGGTATCAGTAATCAGCAGGTAAACAACACATATACAACCATTTATACGTGAAACACCAAGGAAATCAAAATTTATTACGAATCTTTGTTACTTCAGCAAGATGCTATGTCTTGTTTTCTGAACTCTGTTCACCTCCAGCACATGTAACAGGAAGGATTTCAAGCTTGAGAAGAACATTTATTTTATTTGCAGCATAGCTCTCACTTCTTAAGTCAAACTTAGGAACTTCACACAACTTGAACAGCATCCAGATAGTCTCTAGATAATGACTTGTAGATGTCAATGCTGTAGCCAGTCCTCTATACAATTTAAACACATACATGCAAACTAGTGTGATACTGACAACTTGAAGAATTAAAAAAAAATCCTTGAACACATTTCTCAAATGCAATTTCTGCAGCAGATGAAAAAAAATGTTTTCTTACTTATCATATTGAGAACCAGAAGAATAGATTATTTTGCCAAAAGGTATAGTTGAAGATATACCAAAAACAAGAAGCTGAAAAGACAACTATATTTACCCATTGTGTTCTAATGTCTGCCTTGTGAATATAAGTGAGCATTCTACTTTCAAACCCACAAACTATTCCCTTCTTAAATTCAACCAAGCTATTGGCAAGAATCCCAAAGGCAAGAGCACATGCAGAACCAAACATTAGTTTGAAGACAAAAACAATCTGCAAAATCTGCACTGACCATAAAGTCTTCTTATATGCAGCAGTACCTTCAAATGACTACCACAGCATGATTTGGAAAATAAAGACTGGATTAATCTCATCACCAAACAAAAATATTTCTTTAAAAGCCCTGGGTAGAAGCCTTTGTTGGTTCTATTCTCCCTTGGACAAATTGATTCGGCATTGCACAAACCAACTGTGTAATGAGGAAATGCTTACACTAGGCTTAGGAAGATCAGATACTCTGCCCCGAGATGTACTCTCAACTCAGGCTTTATTTATGTGTTTTTAAGCTAGATATATTTACATTATTCAAAATAGGAGTAAGAAGTTGTTAAGTTAGCTTTGTCCTATTAAGTTTTCTATGTCATTCTCGATGCTCCCTGGAGAACCTAAGTGTTGTCAATTTAAGATTAGTTTTAGCAATGTTGTTTTCACAGCACAATGCTTAAAGATGAAAAGAGATGCAAGTTACAACATTTTTGTAGGAAAAAAAAAAATCATGACAACTGAGACTGTTTGGTATGCTACAAATGACCCGAGACAATAAGTACTGATAATTTTTACCCACCAGTCTGACCTGTGATGGTTTACCCAAGTTCACCCAAGCCAAAGAGCTGAGTCCCAGAAGTTGGACTTCCAGAAAAGTGAAACACTAAACAACAAATTACAAATTAATAATTTTTTGAAACCACATAACACAAGGGCATGACTGTCAAGATCTGTCACATAACAGAGATAGGCCTAGAAACTGCTATATAAAAATACTCCAATACCATCTAACTATTTAACCAAGTTCATTCTGAGTATGAGGTGAGCTACAGCTCTTTGTTCTACGTACAAGACAAATAATAAAACAAAAATCCCATTATGAGAGCAATCATAAGTATGATTCCGAGATAATTAATGTTTCCACAGTAGCTCAGAAGTAGTTAAAAAATGAAACCTGCATAGGTGTATCTTTGTTATCACGTCATCACTACTGAATGCAGCTACAACTGATGAGGCCTATTTTCCCCAACTTTTCCATGTACTGTTTTTAAGGGGAGACATCCTCAAGCTACATTAGGAGAACAGTCTACTTCTCAATCAGTATATCTGCGCATAGAAATAGTTCCTTCCTAAATTAATAACATTTTAAAACTGAATTATGTCAGGCATATAAACTAATGTCTAAACGCTTCTCAGCAAAATTGCCAGCTCCAGCACAGAAAAATGAAGCCTGCCTAACAACTGGCATGCTCTGTCACTGATTTTTCACAGATCAGCTCAGAAGTAATTTAGAGACACCCAAGGATTCACAGTGAATAAAAAAATCAAAACTAATTGCCTTGCACAGCTATGTCCATTTTACTCAGATACACAGGCACACCTACAATACTGACAGTTTCAGCATACTGCTGGAATGTGGACCTCAAAAATGCACCACTAGTAAGACAAGACTAGACAAACCCAACCTAGCAATTTACGTTGAAAAATAAATAAAGGCATCTTCACTTTTGTATGTGTCAAGAAACTCACAAGCCCACTAGAAAGATTTCTTAAACTTTGTCTGGATGTTTTTAACAGAATTTTTACTTTATTATTTCCTCCTATGACTTCAGCGAAAACAATACATTTGTAAAGTGAATTTCTCATTAATTTCAAGACTTTGCATCTTGCCATCCTAATTTTGCTCAACTGAATGGAAAAAAGTAAATCTTGGGAAGGTCCAGTTGTCTTAAGTGCTCTTTGGACTTACCTCTACAGAACAAAAGTTCTCAGGAAATGCAGGGTTCTTTCCATTCTCTACAACCCTGTGATAAAAGGAAACAAGTCATCAAAGTCCTCTATTGCCATCTGTCTGGAATTCTGTAAGAAGGACTCCTTAGAGGTTTAAGTCATCAGCAACAAGAAAAAAAGTGGACAACAGCAACAAAAATCAACCTCAGGTCACCACAAAGGATCCCTCAAAGTGTAATTACACACATTCACACAATAAAGTAGAGGATAAGTGCTTCCAGAAAAGGTAACCAAAGGTAACCAATATCTTGATTGCCAATATCTCTCTTCACTCACCTCATCCAAAAACAGTAATGCTACTAGACTGATCACTTCTCAATTTCATAACTTGTAATTGCAACAGCTGATTTGTGAGGGAGACTTGAGATCTCATGGTGATTTCTTTCATTAGGCAGCTGATATTCCATCCCCTTTTAAAACCTGTCAATTTCAGCAACAGTGTCCTTTGGACATTTGTCCATACAGTTCATGGCTAAATACACATTCATAAGGTATTTTTTCCATCAGCACAATACAGAACCAAGCTATTCATAGCTTAGTGACTTTTTCTTAGTCCTTTTTTCACTAGCTCTTGGCAGTAATCCTAAAAGCAGGCTGCAAGAAGTCAAGTGACCATTTAGGACTGAAAAGGATATGACAAGCTGATGTAACACACACAGCCAGTGAAATAAAGCAGGGTACAAGGCAAGCAGTAACTTCTACCAGCTTGATTCCAAGTTACTCAAGCCTTCTTTTTTTTTTTTTTTCCTCCTTACTGGTGATTTATCAAACAGCTTGGTCACAAAGGCCAACCAAAACTCATCTAATCCATAAAAGCTCTTATATTTTAACCACACCCAGCTCAATTATATTAAAAGATGGTCAGACTGATCAATAATCTAAGTTACAATAAGTCTGGACCTCTGTGGAGGAGCTAGAAATATTTGTGGCTATTAGACCTTTTAGCCAAAAGGAAGGAATAAGAACAATTAAATCACACAGATGTTACAACCTTTACAATACCTTCCAGAACAAAATTTTAAAGTAATTCTTTTCCATTGGATGTCACAGTAGCTTCCTAGTCAAGACAAGAGAGTATTTATTTAAATAGAGCTACATAGCTTTCAAGCACACTTGTATTTCTTCAGTAAGAGTTACAAAGCATTTGGAACTGAACCAAGAATGATGTAGGTGCTATGACTACAGTCACAGTTTTAGGTAACAAAATGAAACAACCACACAGTTTCTCACTCTCATCTGTAAGATAAAAAACTGACTGGAATTGACAGTTTGATGATGACAGCAACAGTGTCAGATCAGATGTGAAACGTATCTCCTAGCAGAAAGTTCAAGTTTCCAATAACCTTTGTCTTGGACAAATA